TTTCTGGGGGACATCCTTTTGGAAATCTAAGTAGATCACATCATAGGCCATTTTGTGACCAATTTCTCTTGTAGCTTCCTAAAAGAACTCAAGTAAATTAGTTAAACAGGATCTACCTCTCCTAAATCCAGTGACAGTAAACTTTTTTGCTGTTTATTTTAATGTTTACTAGACAATCTTCAAAAGGAACAATCAATAAAATTGCAAAGCTTGCTAAGTTTTGTTTTCTACGACAGAGGAAAAATGTTTTAGTGAAACTAAACTGAACTTAGTCAGCTAGTGTTTTGGCAGTGCATTTGCAGAGCAATTGCACACCAGCGCACACAGTGCTCAGACAGAGCTCACAGTGGTGTAGGCCAAGGCGTGTCCTCTATGTGGGCTCGGTCTATAAGTATAAATCAACCTTAAGCCATTGTGGAAGATGTGTTTTTTGTGTAGCCAGGGAGTAGCTAACAGTTAGTCTGATCCATTCACTTCAGCCACTATCAGTCACAGAACCAAAGTTTTCAATGTCACAGTCTGGCCAAGAAGTCCAGACCAACAACATCCTTCAATAAAAGAGTAAGTAAGTAAGTAAAATTTACTTATAGAGATATAAATGTGTTAAAATGTACAAAGACCAAACAAAACCAACATCAGAAGATTAAAATAAGAGAAAAACTCTACTAGTCACATGCAAAACATGAACGCATAGCATCCATGTCTCAACACATACTAAAAACAGGGAGCACCAGGATTCTAAAGACACTTCTTGCTCTGTCTCTCAAGAGCCAGACAAAGTCTCAGGATATCCCACAGTGCAGTTTGAACAATCAAGTCTGACGCTTTATGAAAATCAACAAAGGCTGCAAAGAAACCCTGCCAATATTCGCATTTGCGCCCAATGAGAACCTTCAGTGCCAGGATGTAGTCAATAGGGGACTTCTTGGTATTAAAACCAGACTGCTCTGGTCACTAATATGTGGGCAAGTGATCACGGATCCTGTTCAGGATAACGCTGCTCTCAGTGCTTGCTAGGGTCAACTCCTTGTAGTTGCCACAACCCAGGCGATCACTATTCCCTATCCAGACAGGGGCAACAAGTCCTGTTTTCCAGTCAGTAAGGATGACGACTGTCATCACCAGTTGAAATGAGAGGATCAGCCTCGAGAACCATGAACCCAGAGATGTCCAGCTAAGATATTGTGTATTTAAATGATCTTTTTTTTGACACACAGGCATTAGGTAATAGTAGTCAGTGCTTCTGTTACGGCATCACAGTAAAGTTGAATATGGCGGTATATTGGGAAAGACTACAGGTAATAGTGGAACACAATAAAATATAGTGAATTAGCAAGATGCTAATAGACTTAATAAAAATGCCTTTTACCTTTTTTAGATGTTCCTGTAGCCGTTTTACCAAAGACTCCAGCTGAGTTACTTTACCAGCCAGGCCAGCAGTGGTGTCACAGCTAAAAGCAAACAAAACAAGACCCTGGTAAATATATGGCCCTTGCTGTCTTCTACCCTACATGACTGTGTAAAAAAAATTAATAATTTTTTTTGCCACATCATACCTAACAAAATTTTAAATATAAAAAGTCTAAAAATTACTATAATTTTGTGACTTTATAAGGTACACCTGTTTATGATGATGAATAGTCTCCTAACAGCAAATAATGCGGTGAGCATACAAGGTCCAGAGAATGGTGTGATAGATGGAAAATATGCAGCCAATGGCAGTTTTGTGGGCAAAAATTGCCTTGTTAGTGAGAGGTCAGAGGAGAACAGGCAGAGTCATTAAAGCTAACAGGAAGACCATGACTGCAAAAATAGGAGTAAGGCTTCCCAGAATGCCGAACTCATCTACTCTTAAGGTGGATCTGGAGACAAAAGGGTACCTAGTAATATGTAGGCAGAGGTGGATAGTTCGGGTCCAGAAAGTAAAAATGGAGACTAAGATTTTGTTTCAATCAAGCAGTTGAGTACTCTGTCTGGATTTTTACTTTCTGGACCTGAACTATCCACCTCGGTATGGAGGTGAAGCCAAAAAACAGTGGCCAATGAGTGTATTTCATATACACATTACAGTAACCCCTTCACATTCACGCATTTGACATTCGTGGTTTGGTTATTCATGAACTGGCTCTGAACAATTAAATGGCAATATTTTTGGACCTTGCTGAAAGATCTCAGAAACTTGCAGATGATGTGTAAGCCAAAAATAATGATTTGGATCACATAAAATCACGTAATATGTAAGTATTAGTAATACATAATATTTTTAGTGTAAGTGCATACTATATTGTTAATATTAAAAGCCTTGGTTTGGAGATGCCACGTATCTTTATCTCGGCAACGAGCTTCACTCATGTGTTAGCTGTCTTTTTGAACGTGGAATATTGGGTTTCTTGCAGTAATTTTTAAAGTAAACTTTTAATAATGGGTCCAAAATGTTGTGCTTGCAGTGCATACAGTAGTAACTTTATATATACAGTGGCATAATTTAGATGGTCTGTATATTATATAAAAAGGTCTTAGTAAGAAATGACAAAGTAATTTGACATGCAAAGTGCACAGTACACTACTGTTTGTTTTGTAAATTGGTAATAAATGGATTATATTTAAACAGGCTTGCAGATTGTTATGGGTTGAGGTTAGGGGTATTATTCACGAATTTGCAGGGATCTTCCATCACTAACCTCACAAAGTAAAGGGGTTATTGTATAAGGTATATGTCATGACCTGAAACAGTCACAAATATGTAGAGAAACCTTTGGAATGAGAGAAAAGCAGCACATTTTCTACTCCTTGGTAAAGCAAACCTGGCAGAGGAGCTTGACTGCAGGTCCAGGTGCCGTTCACCGTGCTTGGGGCTGGAGGATGGTGTCTCTACTCTGATGTTTGACTCTTGACTCGGAAAGAATGCAGAACTCCGGACTGAAAGTGAAGAGGCAGAGAACATCACTTGAATCAGGATTATCAAAGACGGGTGATTGTTAGATGTTTAATGTTCTTTTCTCCTCACTGTCAAAGACATCTGCACAGTCCACCAGGCTGGTCCACCCTAGCCCACCGCTGGAATGGGTAGTTGGGAGCGGCAACAAAGTCGACCCCAGGTGCTGTGGGCTCCGACGATCGTGCAGGTCTGCCAGGGAGGTGTCAGAGGCTGAGAAATCACCTGCAAATAAGCAGCATCAGAAGAACAACGGGGAATACATGAGAGAAAGTCACAAAGGTTTGCAAACAGCATCAGTGTCTTGACAAGCTTGTTTTTGATGAGATCAAATAGCTACAGTATCTAAACCAGCAGCTCATCATCCAGGTAGGAGTAACTATATAACAATAATGTTAAAATCTTCTGAAGGACTTGCAGGGCGCACCGTGCAGTTTCACGCCCATCTTGTATGAGGGCCGGCGGAGGGGTGGCCCGCGGGTCGTCGGGGAGCGCGGCATAGTGGAGCAGCTGAAGAGGACGTCGCTAGGCGATTCGGGCTCCAGCAGGGGGCTGCCGAGTGCCGACCTGCACGTGCCTCGGTAGATGCTCTCATCTGACAGTGTGCGGTGCAGGGAGTGCCGAGCTGGCGAGACATGCGGGCTGGATGAAGTCTACAGAGATGTGAGCAGAAAGCAGATGCTATCAGGGCAGAAGTGCAGTTCCAAGTGCATTGTCCCAATGATTATTGATTAATGATGAATGATAGCCATGATTAATTCTTATTCTTCCAGGCTCATTCCTCTAGGCTCACAGCTAGGACACTATGTATACATTACTTTTATTGCTTTCTTTATCATAAAAAATAGATACAAATCCATACATCCATTTTCTGTACCCACTTGTCTTATTCAAGGTTGTGGGACTCCAGAGCCTATCCCAGAAGCTATGGGAGCAAGGCAAGGGACAACCCAGGATGGGGCGCCAACCCATCACAGGGCACACTCACACACTATTCACAACCACGGGTAATTTGGAAATGTTTTTGGACTTCAGGGGGGAAGCCAGAGTGCCTGGAGGAAACTCCATGACGACACAGGGAGATCTTGTAAACCCCACACACATGGAGCCATGGCAGAAACTCAAACCCTGGTCCCAGATGTGTGAGGCAACAGTATTAATCACTGCACCATCATGCCACCCCTAGATACAAATCACAGCTAACAATTATGTTTTTAATTAATAATTGTGACTATGACAGGCAAAAGTATAACCGGTTCAGTGTTTCAGCTTATTGGAGTACTTTGGAGTGCTTGTGTCTAGGAGGTGAGGTGTCCAATGGGATGGCTTTCTCTTCTGTGGTGGCTATGACCATTTCCCTAGGGGAGCATCTCGACTGAGGCAGCCCACCATCCTGCCCATCGCTCTGGGGTCGCCTACACAAAAAAATAAATAAAACAACAGCCAAAAATAAGAAACGTCAGGAAAAAGGCAAAAACAAATAGATCTAATGCAAGGTACTTAAAGGGCAATGGTTTGCATCCATCCATCCATCCATCTTCTATAACCACTTATCCTATTTCAGGTTTCCGGGGGTCCATATTGAGGCTAGGGGCGTAAGGCAGGGAACTACCCAAGATGGGGCTCCAACCCATCGCATGGTACATGATACATGGTACATGGTACATGATAGACTCAGACACCATTTACTCATACAGGCACACCTACGGGCAACTTGGTAATGATTTCCAAATATTCTGATAAAAAATAAAATAAATACACAGTGCGACCTCCATTCAGTTTATCATGCTAAGAAATTCAGTATAAAAGAGCATTTCCTCGGCCCTAATGTACGTTTCCAGTTCAGAAACATGCAGTGCAGTTTTCTTGGCAAAAAGGCCTCTGTTGACCTTGAGTCCGTCTGCCCTTACTTGCGTGTGTCCCCAAAATCCACAGAGTTTATGGTGCCACCTGGTTTCTTCCAGCCAATCAAGTACTTGCTGGTAGCACCCTGTCTTGGATAAAAGGATTTTGGCCCCTGCATGGCAGAGTTTTGTGAAGAGGAGGCAGCCAGAGATGAATCTTCACGAGTACTGCGGCTAGATTTCAGGACCAGGGGACTACCACAGCGTCTGGAACTGTGCAGAGAGGCAAGATGGTATGAGTCACCAACATGTATAGCTCACACAATCGAATCAAATACAAGATGCAGAAACGAAATTCAGGCAAGAACATTAGTGGCATAGTTCAATTGGGGATCACTATGATTATATAATATATAGAGTATATGTAACGGTGTGGAAATGCATTTTGGTTAACACTAACATGTATTAATATCAAGTGGATTTAATATTTCTAATTTCATTTTTACTCAATGTACATAAAGGTGCTTGTTCCAGTCATAAATTTATTTTTGTGTTGTTGTGTCAGTGATGTAGGATGTTATTGACTTTGAATATTTAGTACTAGTTATTGAACTTTTTTACCGCTAGAGGAAGATTTCCATGTCATAGGAACACATTTTCAGCTGTTACAGTCCCAAATATTTTCAGCTTTTGTTTGACATTAGGAAAAGGAATACAGGAGTTTATAAATTGTGGCAGATAGCAATGCAGCCGTCTAAATAACAGGAAAAAAATAACTAGAAATAATCAGAAAAAACAATTTTAAATCTGTGCATTTTAGCAACTGTAATATCATGTATTTTATCACTGTGAAGTCAGCTTATGGAAGATGATTTTGACATCATCTTTGCTCATGTCGAATAGTTAACTGAAGACTAGGAATGCGGTAAATATGATGACCATACCTTGACTGGGAGGCCATGCTGATGAGGCTGGATGGGGCTCGGGATGCAGGCTCGATTGCCCCTGGAGGAATCGAGGACTCTGCAACCTGCAGGGACCGCTCCAGCTGGCGACGGCTTCCCTCTGAGGAGCTGGGCTGCCAGGCTGAGGAAGGTCTCTCCTTTGGGGGTACAGACCCAGTGACCAGGATGGAACTAGAAGCGCCATGGATGGCCCCACAAGATGTACCATCAGTGCTACCGTCCTGCAGGCCATCGCCCCCATAGCCGCTATGGTCGGGGTCAGACTGCTCCCCCATGCTGCCTGTTTCATACCATTTGTCCTCACTGTGTGTGCTACTGGATGTGTTGCTGGACATTGTAGTGCTGCTGGAGTGCCCGGAGTATGACGCGTCACTCTGAAAATGGGAAAGGGGGCAGCACAATGAGACCAAAAGTGTCGACTAAAATACTTCCATAATCAAAGTGCATTCTACAACCAGAGTCCTTTTATTCTTTAAAGAGAACAGGCAAACAAAAATATTTTGGCTCCAACCAATATTTTAATTTTATTTTTAACACTGGTAAATGATAAAAGGAAACATTAATAAAACATTAATGAAGTGCAGTAAAATGAATGAATGCTTGGGAACGGGCCTGTCACTTGGTCCGCCCAACTAATCCATTCCCCTCCCACACTCACCAACCTGTACAATTTCTAGAGGTACTGGATGGATCACCTGGAAATGTAAAAGTTAATAAATGTTTTTATTTGAATGCTCTTGTTCCTTCTTGGGATGTTCACCTGAGACTACACCTATTCCTTTATTGCACATTCCACATACATGCCAATTTGCAGAATCTTTCCCAACCAATTAGGTGGCTGCTTGTATTCCTTAGTGTATGTTTTAATGTCCATGTCTGAAAATGTCATTTATATTTTTTATATGTTTATATATTATATTTATTTCTCTTTTGCACTGTGACCAACATTTTCCATGACAAAACAATAAGAACTGTAACAGATACATTAATGGTATATACAGATCTCTGGAGGGGCCATGGACAGGTTTTGTATTTTTTGTCTGGGTGCATGATGTACATCTAACTCACTTAGACATGGATGCAGAACTTGCCTCAGGCAAATGCCATGACAGAAATGATTATGAAACTAGCTGAAGTAGATATAGGCAAGTCACTGATAAAGGAAGAGGTGACTCAAAAGATCATTCAAAAATAACATCACATTAGTGGCTGAAGAGGTTAATGATCACTAAGGGTACAGTATGACTAAATAACCATTAGGGTTGATATACAGCTGTAAATCGACTGCCAGGATTGATCAAAGATGTCATTCTAAAAATGTATCTTGTGCAACAGTGAAGAACATTGTGGTGGAGGCAAATGAAAGTACTAAAAATTTTCAAAGCAGAAAGAGGAACAGGACAATAGCTTCTAAAGGATTCACAGGAAAAAACTGAAAATATAATTAAATCAGCATCAAGGCCTACTCAGAGAAAGCTGCCTGAATGTTAAAGTCAAACAATTGCTATGTAAGCAGCAGGAAGATTCCAAAGGCACGCAAAGACAAGGCTGACTGGCTAGTGGTACCATCAGATGGTATAACACAGCAGGAATAGTAAAAATCCACATACATACAGACAGGCAGCACTGCTGGTCAGCATAATACAATAAAAGTAACAAAAAGGTGAAAATAGTTTTATATGTCAAGTAGTGATTTTGGGAGACTATAGGAAGATCTACTTACCTATGAGGCAGAAAGAGCAAGTTATCAAAAAAGCTGCAGTCACTGTACTAGTATCAGTATTGTCAGATTCATGGAAGCTTGAAAAGACAAACTAAACTTTGCCAAAGAAGATAAAATGTCTGGCAGATTCGGACATGGCAGCTTCATTGAAAGCACAGGTGACATCGATTTCACTTTAGCAGCTGACAAGGAAGCATATGAGGCCCAGGTCAGTCACACAAGGCAAAGCGTTCCATGAAAAGAGCGCCAGCTGTCTTAGCCATCCTACACAGTACTGTAGCTATTTCTGCTTGGATGCAAATGAGAATTGTTCCTGAAGCAGATGATTAGCCATGCTGGTATAAGCTTGTATCTAAAACAGTGGCAGCATCACACTACTGAGAGATTCCTTAGGAGCCTTAATTACCTTACCTTCATTACCTTCTTGGTGAGGGATACATGACAAAGAACATGTAAAGAGTGGCTGAATGGAAAGGACTGAACTCGTCTAGTCGAGGAAATAAAGCCAGCAATCAATACCTGCATTAATGATTCCCAGCCCATGTAGGACATAGTCCTCTTGTTCACAATGCTGATGGTGATGTGGGAAAAATATTCTGCAAGGACTAGCCGCATAATAGCAAAGTATAAAAATTTATATACCAAAATCAAAATAATGATTTGGCGAAAGAGAACTGCCATCTGGGATATACTTGTATGTCTAACCTGGGAATATAGAGAAGCTTGTGAGTCTGCGGCAGTGACCACCCCTTAAGAGAGACCCAAATCTACTGGACCAACTGTACACGTGGAATCACACGGCTACGTGCCAGACATGGGACTAAGTCACTTATACACAAGTCACATTAGTCAAAAGTTACAAGTAAGTTCACAAGTCCTAACCATCAAGTTTCGAGTCAAGTCTCAAGTCATGTTTCTTAGAATTACAGATTTCCTTTAGAAAATAAATAAGTGGAAATTGTGTCCCATGGGCGTATTTACCATGGCATTTTAACAGTGTTCAGCAATTCACATCTAAAACAATTCTAAAGAAAAAACAGACATTGACTTGCAGAAAACTGATTTTCTTTTTATTTTTTTATCACACACACTGTATTGGCCGAACAGTGTTTGACAGAACTACCACTTAGCTCCAGATGAATATTAAACCTTAAGTACTACTCATATCTCTAAAAGTAACACTAAGTAAGTCATGTTACCACGAATAAGGTTAGTTACCTGCAAGCCTCACAATTACTGAGCAACACTTCATAATCAGGTAAAATTAGATTCATGTCAGAAAGAGCACTGGGACATCTAATGTTAAAGTAAAATGCTAATCTGCACATTGGATAAGTGATTACTGTCTGTTTATGGGTCTGAAATTTGATGGTAAAGTTTTTTTCTATTTCATCTATGTATAAATTTGAGTAACCAAAATGTATTATTTTTGGTGTCAGTGCTGTTAAGACATACTTCATGCGAGTGTGGTAAGCACATCTCTGGAAATGACTGTAGACAAATTTGATTGTATCTGTTGATATGTTACACACACAGCAGGGATTTGGGTGCTGTAACAAAAGCAATTGTTTTCCAAAGGGAGAGACTGTAGTCAGGAACTAACTGATCATGGGTTTTAAGTATAACCTTGATTGTATCAGTGGACATCCTGAATAAAAGAGCTGTTTTACTTTGTCAGACATCAATGTAGTCGTTTTTTGTGTGTTTTTTTGCAATGTAAACCAACATCCCAACCTGTGAATCTTCATTTTTTCCACTTGTCCCAAAAAACTGAAACTGTTGGTGATTTTCTAGTGTCATATGGTGTTTCCCTGAAAGATGCGGGAAGTTTTCACAAGTCGTGCTAAAGTCCTGGAGCAGCAATGTACTGCCAGACATCAGGACCAATTTTGAGCCAGATCCAGGAATGACATCAACTGAGAGGGACAAAAAGACTCATTCATCATTTGGCAAGAGCAGCAACGGGAAACAATGTGCTTTCCCACAAATCGTGCCGCTTTGCAGGAGCTGCTGGCCAGCCCTGACAGTTCCCTACGCCCCTGCCTGCATAAAATACAGCTTTGTGCATAGGTGTAAATCACGGGGGGGGGGGGGGGTGCCCTCCACACATATAGGATTGTAAATGTAACAATTTCATTTTAAATAATTAAATAATATGCACTGAAAGCACTTGTGCAAATCCATCCATCCATCCATCCATTTTCTGTACCTGCTTGTCCTATTCACAGTTATGGTGGTCTGGAGCCTATGGGTGCAAGACAGCAAATAACCCAGGATGGGGTGCCAACCCATCACGGGGACACCTATGCGGTTTGGTAACTACAATTCATCTTAGTTTTTGGGCTACGGGGGGAAACCAGAGAACTTGGAGGAAACCCACAACGACATGAGGAGAACAAGCAAACTCCACATACAGAGCTGGGGCTCAAATCCATATCCCAGAGGGGTGAAGAAACAGTGCTAACCACTGCACCACCATATTGCCCCCCTTGTTCAAATTATAAATGCAAAACAATGCATTTTTAAGTTTCGAAAGACCCCCCTTCTCCCTCACAGTGGTTTGGTCCACTGCCTACTATCCTCGATCCCATTACCACACACATTAACCCGGTATGAGTGTCCATGGCTTTAGTGGTGGCTCACCACCAACAAGCAGTTACTGTGTCAGCGTTCACTTAACACACCGAATGTGTCCAACCATGTCTCTTTACTTCTATCACTCAGTAGAATAAAAGACTTAGAATAGTAGATCAGTTAATGGGTGTTGCTTCTTTCCTACTGTAAATAACCTGCATGCTGTGTGTGTTTTGTCAGCCAGTCAGAATTGCAAAAAAAGAAAACGGATACACAATTGTTTTCCAGTGCAGCAAAACATCAGGTAAGTAAAAACAAAAGTCCCCAGTAATGTCAAAGGCAATTTGATAAGATCTTGAATGTAATGACTTCATAGTGTCTTTAAAACATTAGAAAATGCTAACCTTAAGGTATTTACAAATCATATACAATAGTAGTAAGGGTTTCCTTTGTATATATTTAATACCAGTACAACAGTATTTTTGCCAGCATCTTTTGTGTCCCCCTTGTGTCCGCTGTGCACCAGTGGAGCTGTCAGGCTATGGCATTCTACCCAGAGAAATCCAAGTGGTGGGCAGCAGTGTGCCGTCTCTGACCCAGACCAGACATCAATGAGCCCCACCCACCCCCCGAGAACAGCAAACAAAATTCAAGCAGGATTTCACAGACTGACCTGGCTAATTTTCTTGGGGGAGATATGTATGACCTGCTCCTGTCTCTGAATCCGGGGGGCACCGGAGTAGGGCTGGCCAGACTTACTGACTGGCAGGTCTGAAACACACAGCACAGCATTCGGCACATATTTCTGTAACACACATCTTCAAATATTGCTCCAAGTTGTACCATAAGTGGTCACTGATAGACATCATGAGAGAATTAAACAGCATCATTTTGCTTCTGATAAAAAAATATGCAAAAACATTAAAAAGTAAAACAGGACCATAAATAAAAAGAATATTTGAAATATGATTTCAAACAGACACACAAGCAACCCTTTACAAATTTCAGTCTACGTGTCCATGACCAATGAAAAGAGATATAATTCAGTCATATTCTGATCACATTAGGGTTACTTAAGTCAAATTTAATGTAATATACTAATGGAGTCTTCCAATCTAGTACAGGTTTAAGAAATATCTATACATATTTATATGTTTAATATTTTCACATCTAAAATACCCACATGCAAAATTTTCTAATATATAGATAGCTACCAATAAAAAATAAAGTTATAATTCCTAGGTTAATTTAGCAAACACCCATTCAAGCAAATGGTAATGTTCGAAAATGCTGCACAGGTACAGCTGTCCTCCATTTTAGCCACCATATCTATGTATGAAAGGTGACCTCAGAGACGTTGAAAGCACGGTTATTGCTCAGGAGTGAAGATGGCAAATTTGGATGGATGCACGTTTTCCTTAACTGTGATGTCCATAAGATGTAAAGACATTAAAACAAAGAAGACCAGTAGTTCTGAATGAGGCAACTGAAATTATATGTCCTAGGCTTGAAAAGGTTGTTTCCACTTGGATTTTTGCTGAAATCTGAGATATATCAAAAAATTATTGAAATAAACATTAAGCCATTTCTCTGATAGCTAAACCTCTACCCTGTTTGTTAACAAACTTCCTCTCGAAATTGCCAGAGGACTCCAGATTAATTAGAACAATCTTACACACAGAATAAAAAAAAAACCTTTAGAAAATTTGATAAATCAAGCAGTGTGATTTTTGTGGTATTACAAGCAGCTCTGGACTAGTGACACTCATTCCTATAAACAGTTAAGCTTGTATATGTATTGCACAGTTATATCTTTTACTATAGTTTACTATTAGCATTACTGGTTATACACCTTCTACTGAGAGACTAACAATTGAAGTGGCAGAAATGAAGAGGATAGTGTCAGCCATTGTATTTGATCCCAATGAACACAATTTTTTTTCATTTCCTATATAATCGTCTCTTCTCGAGAAGGCTAGGTAACGTCAATAGTTCCCTATTTATGATGTCCAGATGGGTGGGACAATGACCTGCTTCAGCAGAATCACTAAATCTTTCTTGAGGACTCCAAGCTAATCAAAACTGAGCACCATCCTGTTTACTTATTACTACTTTGTTTGAATTTTCTAACTGGATAAATGCAGCAAGTCATGTCATAATAATAATTTATACTTTTATTAATCCCTGTGGGGAAATTGTTTTTATGCCTCCCTCAACTTGCTCTTTGTAGAGCAAGCTGTCCATGAAGGGCAGCCACCTGTAGTGGTGCCCAGGGAGTTAAGGGTCTTGCTCAAGGACCAGATGTGCTGAGGCTGGGCTTGAACCGGTGACCTTGTGACTACAGGCACATGGCTTAGCCCACTGAGCCACACACTGCCCCCCATCATGTGTACTTGCTTACTACAGTTGTTGAAAATAATGTGAAAAAAAATCATAAAGGCTTATATCATGTCACATGGTGTTTATAAAACTTAAGAAAATCATATTTTAAAATATTTCTAAAATGAGAAACTCATATTACACTTATTAAACCATTTCTGTTAACTTTAGAGAAAGCAAAGTTGTAGAATATTTTTGAAAATTAAGTCAAACTGAACTGTGCTAATCTGTTGTGAAGTGTGTTAATCTGTTGAGGTTTTTTTTATAGTTCATCTGTGTCAATTATTAAGAGTGAAAATGAGCATAACAGGGCTCATTTAACATATGTGCTTAGTGGTAAACTCAACTGGGTCCATCAAATTGCATCGTCTGTGTATTGTTGCGTAGAGCTAATCTTTAAGCTTCAAACTTGATGATTCAATGGAGAAGATAGGTGAGATAACAGTAGAGGTGATTTAATTTTAGATTACATTTAAAATCACAAATATCACTATGTCTTGTATATCTACCAGATACCCAATCAGTGAGTCTTACCTCCTGAACCTCTCTCTGCTACAGGCGCCGGCCCGCCCTCCTCCACTCGCAGCCGATTGCCTGTGGTCCGTCCACCACCGCCTGTCTCTCCAGTGCTTTGTGGGTCCAGACAGAGTGAAGATGGTCGGTTGTTCACAAATCTAGGAGATACAGAGGCAAAAAGCAGTTAAGCACTAGAAAGGATTGTTAAAATTAGCAAATAATCAGACATGATGACATAAATAATTAAAATAATTTCCCACTCTTTTGTAATACTGTAATTAAATTACTACAACAGGATCACACAATGTGTTGTCTTTTGTACCTTAAGAACTTAATTGTACTACTATGCAGATGGCAGTGAGACCACTACATAGTTTTCTGAGTTACGTTTATTTGAAATATCAAAAAATGGTGGACTATGTCACCTTCAAGGCATTTTTGAAAAGAACTGTTTTCCCTTGAATGTGAACATTGGAATATGAATCTATGTCATGTTCAGGTAATGTTTTTGAAGGTAAACATGCTATTAAACTTCTCATTCTGACCTACCTACCTACCTGCCTTGTACTTGGAGAAATATTTTGAAGTATATAAAAAAAATGCTACTTTTGATTGTTCCAATCACATTTTCTTTGTTTCAAAGCCAAAAAAGGCATCCAGGAATATATGTGAGATACATGACCTTTTTTAGCTTTAACCCCAATAACAGAAAGAAAGGTATTCCATATTGGTATTTTCTATTTTTGTAAACACTATTATAAATTATTTCCAAATATTTGTGGCAGTTGATAAAGATACTGGGTCTCACTGTGTTTCAGAACAGCCCTTTTTGGCAGAATTCAAGCATAAAAGAGAATTTTATTTACTCTCTATGAAGGATTTTGGTTTCTCCTGGAATCTTCAAGCATTAAATACTTAAGTATCCCTTCCAATCATATAAGATTCAACATTTTTATTTGCCATGCGTAACAGATGCTTTGGAATGCTTAGTCGTTCAGCCTCACTTGGTTACAAAAGACAAAAGACAGTGCAAAACAATATAGTGCAGATGTCTCACCCTTCAGGCATAGACTTTTGCCGCCAGTGGGCGGAGCTTCCAGAACTGGCATCACTGGAGAAGGAGAGGCTACTGGGAGACAGGCGATTATGAGAGGAGCGGCCCGCAATCATGGCTGGGGAAAGGGCGTAGGAATCCGAGCTTGGAGAAATCCTGAGTATGAGGAAAAAAAGAGTACAATAAAATGGTAAATCTAATGTGCAAGGATGGAGTGGGCAGTGTTAGGTGGATTGAGGATTGAGCACCTTTTTGGGTCAAGAGGTCGTCCATCGCTGGAAACACTGCGGGGAATGGCGGGTACCCTCTCTGGGCGCTCCGCAGACAGAGCCTTCCCCATGCTACCCCCGAGGCTAACGGTACGGCTAGGTGTGCCCCCGTGGCTCTGCGGGGAAGCCGTGAGGGACTGCTGGGGGCTGTTGGATGTTCGCTGCCACTTGTTGTTGTTGCTGCGGAAGGGGAACTTGCATTCATATGGAACGCCCTCCGTGGCCTTGTGCTCACCAGCCGTATGGGCCATCTCCGTGCAGCCTCTGCAGGTGGTATGGGACATCCAGAATTTCTTTCAACTTTGAAGAGCTTGTTGCAAAAATGAGCAAAAACTGAAAATCCTGCTTGTAGCATAATAATAGGGCCGGCTCGGGTTATAGGCAGAATAGGTAGCCATCTAGTCGCTGTGTTGTGGAGGAAGTGAAATGATCATTAATAAGGTGGGTAGTGGGACCTCCAAAGTAAAGATTTGCCTAGGATCCCTGAAAAGGTAGAGCCGGCCCTGCATAACAGAATTACATATTTCTACATATTAGACTTTAGGTACAAAGAAGGATAACGTAAAGCACTGAGCATCTCCGTACCTGCGTGGTGTAGTGTCCTCGTGTGGAGGGATGACCACGACCTTCACTGTGACTGAGGTGCGTAACAAGTCGATCATCTGCTCGTGGGACAGAGAGGCCACTCCCACCTTGCAGATCTCCACCAAGCGGCTGCCCTGCCTCAGGCCTGCCTGCCAAGCGTAGCCGTAGGGCTCCACCTCAGCCACGATGCCCTCGTAGTTGACGTGGAACCCCAGCTGGCCCAGACCGTTCCGCCGCAGGGTCAGCTCCATAGTCATACAGCCTTTGGTCAGTAACTAGAAAGCAGGGGAATATAGAGGGAGAACCCAAATTGTACTGGGGCAAGGCTCAATTCACAGATAAAAGAGGGGCTCTAAACATACAACCAGCAAGGCTGAACCAGGCTGCAGTTTGCAGAAATATGTATATTATTCACACACGCACACCCATAAAGTGAAACAAATAATTGTGCTGCGGTCTCTTCATTTTTTGCATGGCTGTATATAATTATTGCTTATTTCAATAATTTTTTGATATAACTCAGGTTGTTGAAATCCCATGGTTGGCAGAGTGAACCCAATATTGGACCGTTGAACAAGGCCCTTAACCCCAATTGCTCTAAGGCAGGGGTCTCCAACTCCGGTCCTTGAGAGCTACTATCCAGTATGTTTTCTATCCTACTTGGCTTCTGATGAGCCGCACCTGGCCCTGGTATTTACCTGAGAACAGGTGCGGCTCATCAGAAGCCAGGCAGGATAGAAAACCTACTGGATAGTAGCTCTCCAGGACCGGAGTTGGAGACCCCTGCTCTAGGGACTGGTTGATCCTACCATCTCCTCTATGCCACTTTCATGAGGTGGCCTCCTGGGATGCTTTTCCAGCTGTCCTGAAAGAGGTCACACATACACTATATTGCCAAAAGTATTGGGACACCCGTCTTCACACACACACATTAATTAGTGACATCCTATTCTTAATACATAGGTTTTAATATGGAGTTGGCCCATCTCTTCTGGGAAGGCTGTCCACAAGGTTTAGGAGTGTGTTTATGGGAATTTTTGACCATTCTTTCAGGAGAGCATTTGTGAGGTCAGGCAAGAATCCCAAAGGTGTCTATCGGGTTGAGGTCAGGGCTCTGTGCAGGTCAATCAAGTTCCTCCACACCAAACTCGCTCACCCATGACCTTATGGACCTTGCTTTGTGCACTGGTGTGCGGTCATGTTGGAACAGGAAGGGACCATCCCTAAAGTGTTCCCACAATGTTGGGAGCATGAAATTGTCCAAAATGGACACTGGAACTAAGGGGCCAAGCCCAGACCCTGCAAAACAGCCCCACATCATAATCCCCCCTCCACCAAACTTTACACTTGGCACAATGCAGTCAGGTAAGTACCGTTCTCCTGGCAACCGCCAAACTCAGACTCGTCCATCGTATTGCCAGACAGAGAAGCAAGATTTGTCACTCCAGAGAACACATCTCCACTGCTCTAGAGTAAAGTGGCAGCATGCTTTACACCATTGCATCCAACGCTTTGCATTGCACTCGGTGATGTAAGATTTAGATGCAGCTGCTCGGCCATGGAAACCCATTCCATAAAATTCTTTTTGCACTATTCTTGAGCTAATCTGAAGGCCACTTGAAGTTTGGAGGTCTGTAGCTATTGACTCTGCAGACAGTTGGTGACTAATGCACACTGTGCACCTCAGCATGTGTTGTCCCCGCTTTGTGATTTTACGTGGCCTATCACTTTGCGGCTGAGTTGCTGTTGTTCCCAATTTCTTCCACTTTGTTAGAAGCAGTCTGCATGCCTAGGTGCTTGATTTTATACGTTCGTAACTTGAAATGTTCATAAGTCGTTATTCAGCATCATTTTGATTTTATACACCTGTGGCTATGGAAGTGATTGGAACACCTAAATTCAACGATTTACCAATACAGACACTCCTCTACTTACGAATGAGATACATTCCGAACAGCCGTTCGTAACTTGAAATGTTCATAAGTCGTTATTCAGCATCATTTTAAGGGTATATGCAAGTACAAAGATTTAGGATGCCGGGAGTTTGCACGCTACACTGCTACACGACGGGAGTAGCAGCCAGAAGTGGTACTAGCCGGAATTGGTGCACAGAAAAAAAAATGTTGCGGACAGGAAACGGAAGCCCAACAAACACAATTTGGACTTACAGTCCTCTTCGTTCGTATGTCTGATAGTTCATAAGTTCAAAGTTCGTAAGTAGAGGAGCGTCTGTACTTTTGGCAATTGAATGTATTTGCTGAGCACTCATTGGCTGCTTTTCCTTCACTCTCTGGTAAAACTCCTCCAAAACCATTTCTACTGTGTTTAAGATAGGTGACCAGGTCATATGATGTGACACCCTATCACTCTTCTTTGTAGGTGACTTGGCATGTTCAAACTTTTGACTGGTACTGTATGTCGGAGTGAAAAACACGCTGCCGCCACCCGAATAAACTTCAGAGGTTTGCTGCATTTTTAATTTGTAATTGTACATTATAGAAATATTGTGAGCCATTAAGACATCATATAGTTATTAAGAACATAAGAACATAAGAACTATACAAACGAGAGGAGGCCATTCGGCCCATCGAGCTCGCTCGGGGAGAACTTAACTAATAGCTCAGAGTTGTTAAAATCTTATCTAGCTCTGATTTAAAGGAACCCAAGGATTCAGCTTGCACTACGT